CCAGTCAAAAAAATCTTTGATCTGGCCACCACTTGATAATTGCCTGTTTTCTTACCATACAGCTTGCATACTTACATAATTCTCATGTAATCTTTCAAATACATGTATTTCATCTCTCACAGATAAACTTACTACTCCATTTTTTCTTTCATAATCTTTTCTCTTCTTTGTACCTCTCATTTCCTAGAGCAGGTGCTTAACAAATGCTTGTGGAACTGAGCAAAATCAACAAAACAAATCTTATGCCCACAACAAATTTGTAACAAGCAAAAAGAGACCTTTATTTTAATTTGTGTATTTCCTTAAAAGTAAGGACTTTGCCAAACATTTTATACACTCTAGGAAATATACAACGATTAGAAAAGTGCATGTCATAGTAATATTTCTTATATGTACCCCAGAACCTCAAACACACAGCATGGGACAGCTTAAAGGGTATAACCTTAATACTGTGAAATTTTATAAATTAGGCTTTAGTAAATTCTACAAAGTATTTAATAAAAAAAAGTCTGCTTTTCAAAGACATAGGTACTTCATTGTTTCCCCCACTCCACAAGACTCACATGAAAATAAAACACTTAATACAGAAAAAGAGGAAAAAGTCAAATGAAAGGAGGAAAGAGTCAAATGAAAGGAAGAAAAGAAAAACTGGTTCACAGTATTTGATTTACTTCTGGACTCTCTTCCTGGTTTTCGAACCTTGAAGAGAAAACAAAGAGATTTAAATCACTAGTCATTAACTTACAAAAGCAAAAGAACAGAAATATAAGTATTTCCATATATGGTTATTAATATTTAAAAATCTAATTGACTATGATGATTTGTGGAGACGAAACTGATACACAAGTTATAACTGTTAATACCCTAAAAATCTTAGGAAATTGTGTTAATTTTTTAGTGTGTCAAAAAATATGCTAACAAAGCCGACCTTCTAGTTTGAAGTTATACAGAATGCATCCACTGGTAAAAACATACCCCATTTACACTGGTCCTGAACTATTTCTCCCCCAAATTTTTATTGTACAATTAAAAACATTAACTCCTAATGTAAACTATAGCAACAAGATAGGTATTCCATAAGCAACAAGGACCTACTGTATAGCACAGGGAAGTCTGCTCAATATTATGGTAAAAATATTTGAAAAATAATAGATATCTGTATATGTATATATACAGATCACTTTTCTGTACACCTGAAACTAACACAACATTGTTAATCAATTACACTCCAATATAAAATAAAAAGTTAAAACAAAAAAAGATAGGTATTCCTTGGGGGGATATGCATATTACGAAAAGCAAGACATTTTTTCCAAATGTGTTGCTTTTTAAAGCCTGATCCCTCTACTCTTTAGGCAGAAGAGCACCGGGCTAATCCAAAATGCAAAGTCTTGTCCACTAGGAATTAAACAGATCCCAACTGAGTCGCCCTCTAGAAAAGTATCACATCTGATACTGGCCTAAGTGCCTTATGACAGTTCCTCTCCAACTATTCCTGTGCTGGAAGAATGCAGTGCTTCTCTACCGGGAGCATGTGGATCCGCCTCCCCAAGGAGACTTTGTCTCCCACCCCAGGCCACCTCCACCGCGAGCACAGCAGAGTCAGAAGGACAAGCTTAGGCCCGATCACAACTGCCTGTGCTGGCAAGAGGAGTGTGCCTTCCATGGCCTCGGGCTTCCCTCTGCCAGGAGAGAGCGATGGTACCAGGGTGAGGGCAGCGTGGGGCCCACGATCAATCAATAAACACACTGAACAGCAAAGAGATCAGTACTTCTCTTCTGAAACATACAAAACATTCTTTGAATCTAGGACAAAATATCTACCACACATGTCTAATCATAAACAGTTTCTAAAGGCTTTCTGACTACAGGTCTATTTAGGTACTTAATTGGAAGATCAGTTTGTTTGTTATTTTTCCAAGTTCTAGCTTTTATTCAATTGCCATACATTTCAATTCATGCAAACTTCAAAGTTATATGAGTATCTTCTTTTCTCTGCCACTCATAGTGCATGGCCTACGCTACGGTGGGTTTAAACTTTTGAGTTTTTTCTTCAATTTTTGTGATATAGCCTTCTTTTAAAAATATCCCATGGTAGATTTTTAGGTTTTTACTTCAACAATTTTGAAATTAATTTTCCATAGAAAACTGAGAATGCTGTGATTGTCTGAAATTGGAATAACAGGATATCACAAGATCAAGGTCCACAATCAATACTATAGTACATCTCCCTTTCAATAAAATTCGAATCTATAGTCACATTAAAAAGGACACTAGGGCTTCCCTGGTGGCGCAGTGGTTGAGAGTCCGCCTGCCGATGCAGGGGACACGGGTTTGTGCCCCGGTCCGGGAAGATCCCACATGCCGCGCAGCGGCTGGGACCGTGAGCCACGGCCGCTAAGCCTGCGCGTCCGGAGCCTGTGCTCCGCAACGGGAAAGGCCACAGCAGTGAGAGGCCCGCGTACCACAAAAAAAAAAAAAGGACACTAAAGTCAACGATTATCGCTATATTCTCATTAATGTCCTAATTTGACATTTTACTCTTAGATTAAATTCCGTTACTGCTTATCCCCATTCAATCTAGATTTAAAGTTTTTCACTGCAACTAAGAATGCCATCACCACCTGCAACTTATTATATAATCATATTATGCAACTTAGGGACTTTATCAGTTCAGTATTTTTCCTAATAATCAATTCTGACTGTTGCAGAAAAAAATCTATTTCTCCTCCCGTCCCATATATACTCATTTTCATAATACTTTACTAGTAAATATATACTCATTTTCATAATACTTTACTAGTGGTAAAAGGCCCAATCATAAGACTAATGTGTAAAACTTAATATTTGAAAAATAAAATATACAAGGTTGGGATACTCTTCTATGATTTTATAATGCAGAAGGAAAAAAACAAGTGGGAAATTTCTTTGTAGGGTGCCTTAAAAATATCTCTTTCTTGACTAGACCGTAACTATTCAAGGGGTAAACATAAGTCATGCTTTCCTCAAAGAATCCTCAAGAGTGGTCCAAACTCCAAGGTACTTCAAAAACAACACCAAGAGTAGGCTGTTGAGTTCTGTCTGTTGTATGAACGGTAGGGACAAAGTATACTGGCCATAAATATCATGGCTGTATTAACTAATTTTTAGTACAGTTCTGAAATACTGGCCTGGTTTTGAAATGCCAGAATATGTGTAGTTTTTAAAGGTTTATCATTTTGTGGGGAAAAAATTACTTGGAGCAAATTACCAAATTTTCTCAATTGGTAAAAATCATGCCTTGCATAAAACTACAAGGATTAGAGGCCTCTGTTCTTCTTGAAAACGACCCCGTCACCCCTCTCTTTCTTTGAGAAAACCTACACAAGACACATTAGAAAGCTTTCAGAATGTGTTCTTACACAATAGACGCCCAGCTAGTCAAAATGAGTTTAGGTGTATCGAGAAGATTATACACGTTTTTTAAATGGTCTAAATAGATATTAAAGGAAAGTTGCTCCCATTTTGCTAGGCACAGCATTCTGAGAGATCACACAGTGAGAAAAATCTCTTACCATATGTAAACCATAAATCGTGTTTGAAAATAAAATTGTAATGAAGAAACTGACATTTCTAAAGCAGCTGTTAGAGGTGACCATTCTTGAAACATGTTTCTGACGCAAAATCTTAAAGCTCTAAAACACAGAATTCACCGAATTATATTTCTTTTAAAAACTTCAAATGTAATAATGTGCCTTCTCATTCAGGTTACTTTAAACTGATGAACACAAAAACATACATTTTCATGAACCCTTGGATTGCTTTAGTTTTCTTTGCTAGAAGCAATAACATTTTACTATCTCAGGTAATATTTCTCTCATTTATGAATATTTAGATAGTAAAATACCTTAACTAGCCTTATACTTTAGGGGGGGGAAAAAGAATTACAATTGGAACAGTATTTAATTAAAGCAATTTAGAGTTTATATGAATAAAAGAGAATTTGATTATTTTTTATCTTCATTTTTTAATATCAAAAAGAAATCTGGATTATTCTCCTTAAATTAGTGATGGGGTCTACTCTCTTCTTTTGTCGTTAATAAATAAAACAAAAATACTAATATATTTTCTCACAGTAAAAACCATCAGTATAAGGACCTTAAATTAAAATTTTAGGTATAAGAAACATTTTTCGTAATTACAGTCAAATTTAAAATCACGTATGTATCAAAACAAATACCTCTGATGCTCACTAAGCAAAGTTCGGATAACAAATGACCTCCAGGCGTGAGGAGACGCATGAGTCTCCCCTATGCACAGCTGGGAACTGGCTTTGGTCTAAATGGGTATCAACCTTACTATAACAACGTAAGCCCTTTCCTAAACTAAAATCTCCCGTTTTAAAATGTAAGGGATTTTTTTGAGTAAGAATATTACTCTATCTTCATAAACGCTCCTTAACTTTGCTCCCACTCACTGCCACAGCCGCTGCTGCCGCCTCTGGCTGAGACATGCTTTGATGTGCTGCTCCTTGGGATTCCTCACCTCCTCGTAACAGAATGAACAAGACAGGGGAGGAAGGGGAAAAAAAACAAAAACAGGAGGGAATGGAAGATGGCAGCAGAAAAGTAAGAGGGACTATTTCAAAACCTTTAGCTTCCAGAGTGACGTTATACACTCGCTCTTCAGCTATCCCAAGGATTCTCTTGGGTAAATTCAGATAAACCTAAGGGCGTACTATCCATAATATATAATGAAGAAAATGTTAATAAAATCAGGGTGAAGATGATTCTCTTTGAAAGTCAATTTTTGCCTTCCGCAAACATGCATGGCTATCACTGTCAAAGGGAAGGTAAAAATACATCACTGGCCTAACTCTACTGGGCACTTACACGTTGATGAAATTTTTACCACAAATAAGCCTCTTCTATTAGAAATCAAAAATATTTCAGGACCAATAAAGTAATAAATAAATAAAAGGCAGACAGATAGAAGAGATATGTGGCAGGGGGTGGAAGTGGTACTGTAGCCAGCTCTGAATCTCTCCTCACTGAGGCAAGTAAACCATCTCTCATGAAACCTGGAACACATTTTCCCATCTTCTGAGCCCCACAGGTGTGCCTACACACCACAGACTGGCCATTTATTAACCAGACCAAAGTCCAACCTAGTCTTGCCCTTTGCAGATGCTGCCTTTGCTAATGTCACTTCTGGAACTACTCCATACTAAAAGTGCCTTCAGCACCAGTACATGAGCCATTGAAGAAATGACTTTATACCTTGCTTTTTGCTTCAAGACCTTTGGGAAGTGATGATTCGAGGCTTTAATTCCTTGCATCCCAACTTGCTGAGAGAAAAGAAGAGTTGGCGGACTCTGCAGTAAGCCACGTACTAACCACCTGACTCCTGACATTCCCTCTCACGCCCAGAGTTCGGTGGTAAGTGTGGAGAACCGGAGAGATAGTAGCCTGAGAGGTAAGAGTTCTGGTCTCTACGTCTAACCCTTTCACAACAGTTCTGTCATTTAAATGCTCTGTGTCTTGGGCTCCGTATCTGCAAAATGAGAGTAACTCCTGGTCTCAACTTCATGATTATTATAGACATGATTATAGTAAATAACACAATGTGAACAAAGGACATTGCGATACATACTGTATAAATATAAGATCTTCTTCTACATTTTTTAAATTATAAAATGAGAATGTTATGACCCAAATAGTTAACCCCTTATTCAGTGGGAGGAAATGAAATTTGTGTTTATTATATATAAGAAAAGAGCTAAGAGGCAAGACTGTTCAACTTACGGGTTTGTGTGGCCTCTTCTGTCTGTGTATCTGAGCATTCCATATCTTCAACACCAGGTTGTGTGCTCTGCTCTCTTTCTTTCTTTCTCTTCTTACATATAAAAATTAAACAAAAAAAAAAAAAAAGAAAAAGATGTGGCATGATGGTCAATTAAGAAAATATACAGGGCTTCCCAGGTGGCGCAGTGGTTGAGAGTCCGTCTGCCGATGTAGGGGACATGGGTTCGTGTCCCAGTCTGGGTAGATCCCACGTGCCGCTGAGTGGTTGGGCCCGTGAGCCATGGCCACTGAGCCTGCACGTCCGGAGCCTGTGCTCCGCAAAGGGAGAGGCCACAACAGTGAGAGGCCCGTGTACCACAAAAAAAAAAAAAAAAAACAAACTTATCAGATATTAGCATATATATATGAATCTATACAGGTGTGGGTATGTCAAAACATACAGGAAGAATACATACAACTTCCTGGTGGGGGTCACCTAAGGAAAGGGGCGGGGGGTGAAAGAAAAGGGGATTAAGGGAAACTTCAACTATACAGTTAGTCTGGAAGTGGGTATATTTCTTATATCCACCTCTAACTTTTTACGCCTCATATAATTTATTATTGAAAGCCATGTTTTAACCATCAGGACTGATCATACAGAAACTCTCTTTGAAAGCTGATACTTGCTCAGGCCAATGATACTTATTTTCCCCATTTTACGCTGCATGTGTGGGGTGGGGTAAATGTACTTGATAAATAGGAAAATATGTGCCTGGCCCATGTACCGCATCAGTGGTTATACCCTCTAAACTGATGGGGAAATTCTGTGGATCAATAATGGCAAACTTCCAATAAATGTTTTATAATTTAAAGTTTAAGAGGGCCATAAACCTTACTGTAAAAGAAGAGTCTTAAAAGTACAAAGCTCTCCTAAAATCTCAAAAACAGGTTGGATTTTCCACCACTCTCTCAGGCCTTTCCTATTTTCTACATATTTTTCTAGTTGAGTGTTACTTAGGAGTTAATGCCTACGTTCTGTCACCATCCATTCTTCCCAAGTGTTCATACAATTTCTTTTTCTTACTTTCTATCACTACATTTCCTAACTAGCTAAGTCCTGTGTAAAGTTTTAAAATACTTAACATCTCTATACATAGGTATAACTATAGAAGGACATTAGTAAGGAATTGAAAACTTTGCACTTTTCATACAACTTTATCCCATGTAATCTCAAATTTAAATGTGTTAAAATCTACATCAGAATTCATTACTTCTCTAGGTTGCCTAAAATAAGTCTGTAGCATTTAGGAAATCATCTGATACTTCCCAAATTTCACAGATTCATGACACATCAGAATGTCCTCATTTATATTTTCCTAACAATATTAAGTTAAACTTTGCCTAAGAATTTTCCTCACTTCAGGCCATTTTGTGTACAGCTATAAAAGGTATAATGTCTGCTGACAGGACATTGTTCTTTTGCCTAATGGCAACCATGGGTTCTGTTCCAAAGAGAACTACATGGGAAAGCACAACTCTACTCAAGCCTCGTTATGTTAAAACCTCTGAATGGTCAGAACTGTTATTATCTATGTATTACAGTTAATCCCACTGTTTCAAAATATTCTTAACGGTGGCTGTGGAAAGATTAAACCTCAGAGATTCCCATCATGGTCCTGAAGAAAACGCTTCACATATATAAACATAACATCTTGACTAAACCTTAAAAAACTTTCAAAGGCATTCATTTAGCAGATTTGTACACGGAGGTATTACTTCTCAAAAATAGCTGGAAGAGTGGCTGTAACTTCATATAACTGATGAGAGAAGGGGAGTGCCTTACATCTTTCTTTTCCAAAGTGTTGCTTCATGATTACTATCTAAACCCTGCTGGGCTGAACAGATTGGTTCGATAATTACATACAATAACTGCAGTGGGCAGGTAACCCTCAGCTGGCACAGGGCAGCTCCCCTGTGAGGACTTCCATATGCAAACTGCACTGATGGAGTGCATTAGGTACATCTTTCCTGCCGGTGCACAGGCCTGATTAACGCCAGCCAAGACTCCAAGGTTAGCATGTCAGCAGATTTGTGATGCATTAGGCAGGAATAAACACAGACACTTTTGTTCGTTCGGACCAAAATTAAGGAGGAATATTTCAGTACTATATTACTTTCCATACAGGAGAGAATGCATTTTCCAGCTTTAGGAGGGCAGATTTTTAAATGCTCATTATAAAGGGAGCTATCCAATATGTTCTACCTAAGAACCTAGTGCATTCATCTTGTTTTCAAGCTTATTTAATAAAAAGGAGCTTTCTTAATCTCCGTGCAGGTAAATTACATAGGAATGAAAATCAGACAGTATTCAACCAACAAAAGAAACACCTGTATTTCAGCAGTATGTACTGGGGAAAGCACTGAATTTCATTAATCCACACTTCAACTGGGTATCTCTTGCCCAACTTTTCTGACAATGTATATATCAATAGTTTGGATAGAAAGGACCAACAGTCTACAGACTAAGACCAATTAACAACAACCTTCAAGTTAAAGAATATCTAAGTCTGTTATTCATTGCATAAGGCGATGAGTGAAATTCCAAACAATTCGCTGCCACCTTCTTTCTACTGATGTCACCAAATGCTCCATTTTGTTATTTGACAACTTTTTAGGCTTCAAATAGTACATAGTTTGGTTCTCTTTAAACAGAAAATGGCTTCACAAAGTGCATTAATCTCTGATTTTGTCATATGCCATACCAGGTCTCACAGGTGCCTTTATTTACATTTATAAATGAAATCAAAATATTGCATGACACACAAGAATAATTCATAAAGTTAGGACAGAGTTTTCTTTTAATTCAGCATGGCTAAAATATCTTTAAAAACTAGGTTTATTTTAAAGGGCATTAGTGTATATATTACACATTGTATTTTTGCAGTGCTCAGACTGCTAGGCTAAAACTTAGTTAAATTAGCAGCTCCTCACTTCCAAGTTAGAAACAGGAAGACAAATCAGCGAGATACATCGGACTGATAATTTACTAACCATCTAAACACTGACTAGAGATTAGTTATAGACTTAAAGCTGTTTTAATGGAAAAAAGAATAAAAGTCTTCAGAGACAAAAACCAAAGACAATTCTTCACATCCCAACTCAAACATCCAAAGATACCCTCTAAATGCTTTCAACAGCATCTAAGAGAAGCCAATCAGATTCATGCTTGCATCAAAGGAGATGGGTACTGAAGAACTGCTGTTGGTTTTTTTCCCCTTATTACAAAAGTCATGAATGTTCATTATAGAAACTTAGAAGGTACAGCCTAAAATGTTTAAATGGTACTGCACGTGTGTGTGTCAAAGAACAAAGAACTCTAAACACAAACATGAGACTGCAATACGCAGTTAATCTTATTGGACTCATCTGATTAAGGCCACTGAAATCATCATGCAAATGTATACCCTTTAAAAATTACTAATACATTCCTTAATAGTAAGCAAAAATAGAATATTTGTTACTCAGTGCTAACTAAAAAGAAAAAGGACATATCTTCTATGAAGGTAAAGAAACGTATGTGCTACACCACAATATTTACAAAACCAGTGGATTTTAGCTAAACTTCCCTATCTAGACAGAAAAAACTGAGGCTGGGGACAAAAGAAAGCTGGGAGAAGCTGCTCAGTGTTTCTAACTGGTGGTGGTGAGAAGACAAGAGCTAAGGGCTCTTGGTTCTTATTAGAACTTCTTTCCACAGAACCACGCTGCCCCCCACGGGACTTTTCGGTGTGAAGTGGCAGTTTCCAGCCGTGGTGCTTTCGTTGTAACGGATCCCTTCCTAGAGAGCTAGCGCACACATACATACATGTGTACTTGGCAAGCCCAGGGTCACACTCTACTTTTCTTCTCTCCCACCCTGGACACTCCTGGAGGGCAAGGACTGGGGTTTTCCCCACATGCTATTATGTACCTTACACATACACAAATATCTAGGGGTCTGCACCTACTGAGCAACTAGTCCACTACTACTGTAGTAATAAAGAGATGACGTGTTTTACCAAAAGCCCCTCAAAAACTGTGTAATGTTTAAATGGACATTAAGTAATTACAGAAATGTTTTGAGAAAAAGCAGGAAAAGATCAGACACAACTGAAAAGAGAACAGATGAAAAGATGGGAAGTGGGTCAGGGAGTGAGTAAGTGACTTAAATGAGAGATGAATTTGAAGAATGGTCTAAAAAACTGTTACGATACACTGAAGTGATTTATTATTTTAAACAAGTTTCCATGGTAAAGGCTGCGATAAGAATAACGCACACTACAATTTCCTTCCACAGTAACCCTGATTCTATCGGAACAGAGGTAGGAATCCCATCATGTATTTTCTAAGCACCTACTGTGTGCTGGGCACTGTTTCAGGCTTCATTGTCATGGGAGAACAACAGACACTAACAAATCGTTAAAGCAAAAGAGTAATTTTAGCTTTTATAAAAACATTAAGCACACACAAGTTAAATTTCTAAAACTATTTGCATTTATGTAAGCCCTATAAGAAGTCATTTCAGAGTTCCGTAAACGAGTCTTTTTGAGTAAGTGACCAATGTAATCCCACACACGTGGGATTTCACTCTGTGAAATATCAACCCATCTGTAAATGTAACACAGGCATGAGTGCATGGCCAAACCCTGACTTTGTTTTTTGTTTAAATTTAGATATCTCTCCTGTCCACATTTTTAATTATCTATTTTGAAGGTAGTTAATAATTAACATATTACTCGAGCAATTTTATCATTTATTAACAGGTCTGGGGGTTTAGCAAAAAAAAAAAGCATGACTAACAAAATGTGGAAAACCTATGTCCTTCACTAGTTCAAGCTTTCCCACTCTTATGCCATGAAGAATGAAGAATTTGCTGTAATTATCTGAAAATGGTGCACCAAAGATTATTGCTAACTCATGAGTTAGCAAATGATACCGATGCATTTGTATACTCTGTCAGAATAAGTAAACAAATGAAAAAACTGCACCTAGGTGGCAAGCAGAATTGACTGCTTGCTCCATGGGCAGCACACTTTTAGCAAAAGCACTGCTTTCACAAAGTACGCGTATTTG